ACACTGAAAACCGCTGCAGTAGACCAACCTTTTTATGGCAGCACAGAATCATAGAAAGTTAGGGTTGGAAAGGACCTCAGGAGGTCAATCTAGTCCAACCCCCTGGTCAAAGCAGGACCATCCCCAACTAGATCATCCCAGCCAAAGTTTTGTCTAGCTGGGTTTTGGAAACCTCCAAGCATGTGACAAATTAGTCTTGCACTCTTCCCCAAGTGCACTCTGATCCCCTTCCCTTATCTGATCTGCTGCTCTGCTTTCTGTGTCTGTCCTTGTGCTCCCTGCCCAATCTGCTGCTTTGCTTTCTGCTTCCTGCCCTATCTGCCATTGTGCTGCCTGTCCCCTCCCTGATCTGCCATGTGCCACACACAGAGGCTGCCCATGGTACATGGACACCCATGCTGCAGGTTGGCCACCCCTGCAGTAGACCATACTGTAATGTACTTCTAGCCATTGCATTAGATCAGAAACCCCCTCCCTTCTAGATGAAACGGGCTCCCTTATGACTGGGTTCCTTAGTCAGAGATGTGGGAGTAGAACTCCACATAAGGAAGGCTGATGCATTGTGCTGTTTGAAGGGGAACTCTATTCATCAACGTGTTACCTAGTTAAACATAAGACATGTTGTTCCTTTACAGAGAGACCTGAGTCATGGAATCTGGATCCAGAGTCAGAACATCCTACAGGGATGGTCAGAGCTTGCTAGGGGCTATCTCTGCCTATGTCTACTGATATCCCTGTAAGAATGTGTCCTGCTCTAAAAGCTTCAGGTAGGCATATCCTCTAATTGCATGAGTTTAGGAAGAATCTTTCTGTAGGAGCAGCTTCTTCTGGAACTGCTCATGATGGGGTTTCCTTGAAGCTTCTGACATATCCCCAAACTTGGGGACACCAGGCTAGCTCATTCATTGCTCTTAACCTCAGGGGAAAATTCCTGTGTTTCTGTTGCTGTGCCCCCAGTGTCCACTTAGTGACATTTCATCTCAATGTCAGCCATTCAAACCCTTCCACTCCGATTACTCCCAACACTTTTCCATTCAGCAGAGAGTTTTCTTCACACTGTGAAAATGGGACATTCTCTTTTTACAGGCCCCACATTTGGCACAAAGGAGGAGGTCAAGACTTGACACAACTTTTCGCTACCAGCAGTGATGGTCTAAGTGGAAACAGAATATGGAGAGCAGGTAATAAGCAGTGCAGCCTAACAGCCTAGGAATTACTCTTCTTTTATTCTTGGAAGTGTTTTTAAATTAGCCAGTCAGTTAATTTCCCTACCCTCAGCATGGACAAGCAATGATCCTTTCATTAGAATGTAAAAAGCAGTGATGGGTGAAGCTCAACAGAAATGGTGATAGGCAATAGGCACTGCTCAGATTTTAATTTAGATTCTTTGAAGAGCCTGACTGTGACAATCTGGACTATAAATTCTGCATGACAATGGATTTCTGATACCTTTGCTCATGGTGTTTTGGCATTTCCAGGCCCAGCTGACACCTGGAGATGAACAGATGCAGCAAAAATGTATTTTTAAAACTGTATTGTCCTGTTTGGGGAGTTTGAAAATGTGCTGTCTGCAGTGGCAGGTATAGAAATAACTGGAAATGTCCTGCACAGCAAAGCTCTCTCCCCCTTACACCCCCCCTCCCCCCCACTCCCAATCATTCATCCGAGCAAAAGCTTTGGGCTGAAATCTACTCTTTTCTGTGCAGAGCAGCCTTCAGGAGGGAGATTAATGAGTGAAGGAGAAAAAATTCAATTCATCAAACTGTGGGCAAGGCCAAGCTTTTCTGATGTAGCCTCTGCAGAGTTGCTGTGCCAGCCTACAAGCAAACATAGCTGCCAGCACTGGAGCCACTGGCTCCATGAGAATCTGGGTGATTTGACCGAGCAATCAGAGGAGCTACACACAGCTCTCAATGGTAAGCCAAACAGAGTTCTGCCTGGAGAGAGCTGAGGGCAGAACCAGTCTTCTCTTACCACATCAGAGCCTGCTCTAGTTCAACTCAAGGTTGAGGTGAAGGCTTTAAAAAGGCACTTTCTGAGCTGGTTTGCCCACCTTCCATCCCATCCCACACACAGCCAGCCCAAATACTGCTCTCATCTGGCAACACGGATGAGATCACCAGGGAATGCTTCATGGAAGGATTTTCACATTCTTTCAGAAGAGAGACTACCAGCCCCCAGTGACCCTTTGCCCTGTCAAAGGACCTAGAGGCAGTGATGTTATTTGTGTCCCTGTCGTGGGAACATGGAAAGCCAGAGGCTTGGAGCCCTACCACTGTGTGGTTAACTTGTTGCCATATAGGCAGTGGCTGTGTGCAATTTAAGGAGAGAGAAGAGAACAGTGCCTCTTTCCTGAGCAGCAAATGGAGCCCCAAGGCCTTGCATCTCTGATATCTCCTTCCACAAGGATATTCTTCCCACTTTTGGAAAGCTACACTTGTATGGCAGGCCAGTGTTTGGACCTGAACCCGTACATGTGAATGTGTATGAATGTACATGCATGCCCCAGCATATGTGCAGGACCTGTGCTGCACCACAGCTGCACATTCCCTGGAGAAAAAGCAGGACCCACCTGCTGGTATCTCTGAGGCATGCTGGAGCTGTAAAATATCTCCTGCTCAGACAAGAGATGTGTTCAGCAAGCACAGAGCTGGCAGGTGTGAAATAAACTTGTCGAGCTTAGAATAAAGGAGATGTTAAGGAGACAGCCGAATGCAGAAATGCTCTGATGGGCTCAGGCTGATGCTTCATAGATTATGATAAGGTTGAATTAGAGGAGTGCTAAAAATGTGTGGGAGGCCCTGAAAGATCTGACAGTGCTCTTTAATTGGGGAGAGGCTAAACCCAGCCTTCTCTATCGCAATGTATCACCCTCATTAGTGAGCCGAATTGTAGGACGGTTGTAGGGCAGTGTGTTTATGCCCATTGTGCAGGTGAGGAATCTGAGGCATATGGAGACAAGTAAATCATACAGTATATGTATGGCAGACAGGGTCAAAGCCTGGTGTCCTAGGCTGTACTTCCAAACAACCAGACCTCAGATCTTCCTAAGTGGCTTTAATTCAATTTGCTTCCTTATCAGAGGGCAGATGGAGCACCTTGGGGGAAGGATGGCTGCTGCCATCCCACAGAAACTCCTTAGCAAGGAAAGGCAAAAGTCAGGAGGTCAGAGCTACCTGTGATATGTGAGAAACAAGGTTCTGTGTGTTGCTCGCTCTGTCAAGGTAAGAACAGCCACCAAGGTCATTTAAGAACACCGGCACAGAATGCTTGCACCGAGTGGCACGTGGACAATGGGCTCAGTCTCCCCACATGGGGTACATTACAGAATATGCAGCCCAGCTGTTTCTGTATTAAACTGGAGACTGCTATTATCCATTATACTATCAAGAAGCTTGTATTATTATTCCATCAGTCTGTTTCCTCCTGCTATGGGCAGAGTTCACTTAAGACTTCATCAGATCTTGGTTTAAATTCAAAAGATAATGGTCCATGTCTCAGGTATTTATATGATTTCCAACTCTGTGTCTGAGCATCTCACACTCTTTAATATAGATGTCCTCACAAAACCTTAAAAAAGCATTATTCCTGTTGGGGAAAAGAGGGATAGGGGAGCTATACAAGTTGTCCAGCGTCACATGGGAACTCCGTGATGGAACAGGGACCTGAACCAGTTCTCTTCAAGGTGGTTCAAGCAAATCACCTTAGCCACAAAAGCACCTTTCCGCACTAAATAATTATCAAGTGTTTAGGGTGAACTGAGCAATTCGAGTGCCTGCTAGTCAGCAAGGAGGAGAACAGGATGCATGAGATCTCGGCGCCTTGATTCTCACCACATTGCACATTGGTAGGGCATGTTCAAAGTCCCTGTGTTGCGCAGGATGGGTGGAAGGGACAAAGCAGAAAGGAAACAGCCTTATCATGAGCTTAATGTCTTAAATTTTTTAAATATCTATTTAAGTTCTGTTTATCTAGAAATGTTTATTATCCCAGGCTGTGATAAGACACCTGGAATTAATGCGATAAAACACATGGATTATAATCCACCTAGAATTAATGCGATAAAACACATGGATTATAATCCTTTATAATCTCTGCCCAGGCAGCCATTTATGGCTCACAAAACAAGTCTGACTAACTGTTTTAGCTGTATAAGGCTTCTAGATGGAGGGGTAAAATTCCACATTTTCACCAACAAAGGTGACAAAATGTACCAGCTCATCCCCCAGCAGTCTTAGCAACAAATATCAATCTATATTGGAAAAGCTGGCCCCTAGCTATGCATCTGACAGCAGCTGGTGACATTATTCCTGGTGTGTGTGTGCGTGTGTGCGCGCGCGTGTGTGTGTGTGTGCGCGCACATGCTTACAGCCAAGATGTAGGAAAAGGGAAGGGATTCACACAGACTGAAGGCTGCAGGGCCAATCCTGTAAAAGGACAGGCATGGAAGGCTTCAGAAAGATTTCCCCCAAATCACACAGAGGAGCAGACTAAGACTACCATGGACTCTGGCCATCCAGGCATCTGTGCTGTGACTGGCAGGGATTGGGGATGACAGGCAAGTATGCACCGAGCATAGAGTTCTTTTCGGTCAGCCAAATGTGAACCATCTGGCTCCATCCTTTCCTATTTCCCAAGCAAAGCATCTCTACAGCATGTGTGACAACAGGCTAGATCATTTAGGCTGGCTCATGCAGACCAGTCCCACTCTGAGCAAGGGGCAGCTATGACATTACTCACTGTCCAGGTCCAGAATTGAAAGAAAGACCTGTCCAGGTCAATTTCTTTCCTGAACACTGAAAGACATAAGAACTTACTGTCCCTAGTCACATACTTTCTATGATACTACTGCAGCCAGGAAATAAATCAGTGCATGAGAGAAGGGGTAAAGTTTCTCTACAGTATTTTCTAAACGTCTTCCCTGCCAGCGTATCCCACTAGTCAAAACCTGTGAAATAGCTGCCAGAGTTCAGGTGAATAAAACCACTGCAGACAGCAGAGAGGAAATATTCGTCTTTATACTGAAATTAAATTCCAGTGACACTTTTCTGAAAAAACAACAGAATATATAAATATGTATGGTATGTAGATACCAGAGGCTGGTATGGGTCAAGGCTTGTTCTTTCTCCGCAGGAACTGTTCCACTTCACCAGGTAAATGATACCTTACTTAGATTTTCCAAGACAATCTGTTTTCCTTAGTGGAAAGAGAAAGGAAATTCAGCTCTAGGGAGCCATATTTTAAGATCATAAAGGGAGTGACGTAAAAAGGACCAAATCCAGCAATTTCATACTCAACCAGTCTCTGAGTGCATGGAATCTTTCAAAACAAATTCCATTTAGAAACAGTTCTGCTCACAGAGCCTCCCCTCTCTGCACTTTCTATATCCCTTTTAAATTCCCAAAGACACTCCAGGCAAAATGGATCTTTCAATGCTTGCAAGTTCATTTGCTACTATACAGTTTATTCAACATGCAGTCAGGCCAGTAAACAAGCTCATGCTCCTCCTCAAATCCCAGGAGGATCTGGATGTTTCTGCTGAAATGATCAGCAGCAAAATAATGAGTAATGTTACCATTTAAATTGCCATCCTGAGGCTCTGGTATTAATGCCAAATAAAACAAATGGGAGCAGTTATTGTCGCTCATACAGCCCTTGGCTGGATTGTATTCAGAGGGTTTTCTCTGCAGCAAGAAAAGTAAGGAGGCTGAACTTTTTTAAAACAAAGCTCCACTTTGGCAGGATTTGAAACACTGGATGGGACTGGTTCAGTCCAAGGAAGGGTTTCATATGGCTGGTGACAGAAAATCAAAACATGACAGATGACTTTGAGCAAGGGGGATAAAGGGCAAGAGCAGATGAACTTGTGAACACCAGTGATGCTATTTACTGAAATATCTTTTGCTATAAAGAGTAAGTGAAAATAATAATAATACTGAGCATGTCCCTAGAACTTTCCATTCTCATAGTACTAATTGTAGTCTACTAGCATGTGAAAAAATGCCTGATACAGAAATAGAAATGCATCTAAACGTAATATGTCAAGTGGCTGCCACTCAACTGACTTCCTCATTTAACAAAATGCTTCTTTGGAACTTTTCTCCAGGGGTACCAGAAGCCCTTTGGGGCTGACACTTCATCCCCTGTGCATAGGCATGCGTGCACAGAGGTGTGGAGAAAAGAGTGCTCTGGCAGGTGTCCCTTACAGAGGTGGACAAGCTTGATGCCTGGTGTTACACACCCCAGCTGCTGCATTACCTAGGCAAAAGAAAGGCTAAGCATCAACTTTGCTATCCCTTACCTTGCATTAGCTTATGGCAGAAGACCCTTGGTTTTGCTTTCAAACATTTTTTTGTGTTTCTTTTAGGTTGGCTTAAATAGCTGGAATCCCAGCTGGAATACATCGGGGACGGGATATTACTGAAGCTGCATGATTTGGGATCTTCCTAAACTGGAGGGAGCAGAGAGAGCTGATGCACACATGGAGCATTCAAAGTATGGTGAGAAGGGGAGAAAATTTCTGTGTTAGCATTAAGGCCCCTGCTATACATTACGTGTATTATGCAATTAATGGGCTAATCGTGCAATAAATGTAGACGGGCCACACATACAAAGTAAGACTGACCACAAGTACAAAGTAATTATCACACAATTAGCTGGTTAACTGTGAAATAAATTTAAACCAAAGTAATTAGCACATGATAAAATTGACTATCCAGCTATAAAAACAGCAACCAGTTATAAAGTTAGTGCTTGAACATGTGTATCAACTCTAGCTGCTTTCTATCCAGCTTTAATTTGAACGTCATTCTAGCAGGACCTTTAGCCACACAGCCTAAATACCTCCCAGGCACCTGAGCACAGGAGTGCCAGCCTTGCACAATGTTCCAGTTTGTAAGGAAGCTGCTTCAAAATCTTGTCTCGCAAGCTCCAGTAAGAGTTAGAGCACAACACACCAATGAAGTGGAGGCAGCAGGCACTGGAAGGTACAGTCAAGACCTTAATTCTGTGAAACTGGTGCAGTTGCTTCAGACAATTGGAAACTACACACGGGGCTGGAGGCCAGAAACGTGCCTGGTAAGAATCCTTGAGGCACTGATGTCTGGGCAATTTCAGCAGATCATTCCCCTGATAAAGCTTGATCTGGCCTGTACCATGTTACCTGCTTGCCTGTTAGCTTATGGGAATGAAGCACAATCAGGGACAGGCCTGAACCAGCATCTGGGTGGCCCAAACTCAGTGGGCTTGTGGACCCAAGCTGTGCAGCTTAGGCTGTTCTCCAGGACAGGGCTCAGACTGGGCCCGCAGATAGAAATGCCCTCAAACAGAGAATGTCCAGATCCAGATATACACGCTGCTGCTCACTCCCATCTCTAGGATATGGCCTATGAGATCCAGGAATATCAGCAGACCAGACTGGGTTTATGCATATACCTGCAAGCCCAGGAAATGCCGGGGATTTCATGAGGGCTATTTGATTACAGTGCTCAAAAATAGAAAAAAACCAGATGTACCCCTACAAGCTTAATTACAGAAAGCCAGGTACTACTGTTCATTAGCTACTGGAGGTAACCAAGCTGGAAGGGGTTAACCCAGATGACTGCCCCCTCCCTTTCCACACACAATTGACTTCCTAAAATCCACAATCTCCCTCCCTACTCTTGCAGAAGAGGTCTGCTTTCCTCCCATTCCCAACCTTATCCCCTTGCCCCCACTGCATGACCATAGGCGACAGCTCTGCACAGGGGCTGCCAGGAGCGCATGCTAGTTAGATAACAAAGTACCAGAACTTGGCTGAAGACTTGTAAGGAGAAGGCAGGGGAGGCCGTGAGTCCTCTCCTCCAACTCTCCACTCAGCTCAGTCTTTCCTGAGCCATGGCTGTCACTTTTCCAACCTCTTCTCCTTCTTTGTTTGATTTATCCTCCTTTTTGTTGTGGGTGGAAAGGCTCCAGCTCCTGAGAAGCCAGGAGAGATGCTGCCTTCTGTAGCTCCTGGCATATCTCTGTAGTGAGGGAGTCCAAAAGAGAGCTGTTTGTGAGAGGCTCTTCTCTGGGGCTGGTGGGAGATGATGGGGGGAAGGAAGGGGATGCCCTCTACAAGGGAAGCAGAAAAGCAGTGAATGCTGGGGTCTGGTTACAGTCTCTGGTGGGACCCTCCCTCAAAGACGTTGCTTGAGAGGGAGGTAAGGATACTGGCATGGGGCAGAAGGTGCCCCTCCTGGCCTGCTCAAGGCACTCTTGTATCAAGCCGGTTTTACAGAGCTGAGGCCTAAGCTCAAGGTATAAAGCTGGGACCTGGCTGCTGTTACTTTCACTTAAAAAGGTTTTGGCTGCAACTGCAGCCCCAGCCCAGCTGTCATTCTGCACCAGTGGGGCCAGCATCACATGTACACTTGCTTTTCTGCTTTCTGAGGGCCTACTTCTGAACACACTAGCAGATGCCCCCTTCTTCCTGTGTATTCTCATATTTTTAGCTCCTGAAATCAGTCAGAGTCCCGTCCCCACCGCCCTGTCTCCTGGGTTTCTATCCAGGGCCATCTCAGCTCTCTCCTGGACTTGTTTATCCATGCAGCTATCAAAGAGTTAGTATACTCTGCCTGCAGCTTGCTCAGCTCAACAAAAGCCCATCTGGAGACACCTGGTGCAAAGTACAGACCCATTAACCCATGGCAGGAGATGGAGTGCTTTAAGCCGCCTCTGCCTGCTGAGCTGTGCTCTGCACTAAACAGCAGGCCAGCTTAATACCTTTTCCTGCCTTCTCTGTGCCAAGCTGCAGGTCTGATGGGAAGGCATCCTATCCTGAGACTTTCTAATGCCACCTGTATGCCACACTATGCTCTTTTCCAAAAAGGCGCATCAGCCCAGCACCTTCCTCTCTTCTCTGTGCCAAGCCAGGCTCAGCTTCGGAAGTAGCACTTCCCACTGATACCATAAGTTTCAACTCATTTTCCACCTTCCCATCAAGCCAAGTCAGAAATGCTCCTGTTTTGCACCAGCTCTTTATCCCACAGAAGGCCTCTGCCCTTCGCTGAGTGAATGCTTTCCTCCTCCTTGCCTCTGCTAAAGGCAGGGGGAGGGGGAAGTATCAGATTTTCTTGTGAACTCCTCACACTGAAAACATTTGCTTTGAAATTACCAGCTAGGACCTTTTTCCTGCGATGCAGTGGCCCTCTTGAAGAAAGGGGCTGAGGGAACTGTCAATTTCTTCTGAAGCTATTTAGGACATTTCCAGGCCCTTTCTGAGCTGCTCTCAGAAATTCCCACCCCCCCAGACACAAAGGCAGACAGAGAAACATTGTTCACTAGTTCAGAAACTTAGCCCAGGCTCAGCATCTTCTGAAGTTTCAGATGAATGGAGGCAAGTTTTCCTGCAAGTGTCAGCTCTCTGGGGCCACGCCACGATTCTCAACTTGTGATAAAGCTGAACTCTAGAAGTGTTGTGTATGGACCTGGAGCCAGGGCGGAGGGTGATGCAGAGAAAAAACATCTGTCTCCCTTCATTTTTTCTGGTGCCTTCTTACAGCCAGCTGTAGCACTTTTCCACAGGGATGGATGATTGCTGAAAGTGAGCTTAGAAATCTCACTATGGAGAAATCCTTGGGGAGTCGTGAGTCTGCTGCATGGTGAGCTGTACTTCCCCCCTGCTCATACAGTTGACTTTTACCCCTTTATAGTGAGCAGAGATGTGCTTGTTGCTGGCTCAGTCATGGCTCAGCAAGGTGGTAAAACATGGGCAAGCTGACCCCAGGTGTGATCCAGGCATCCTCTGGTCTTCAGTGCTGGTGTTGCCCACAAAGCACTCCCTGTCCACCATGTGGCACAGGACAAAGGGGAAAGTCATGAGCATAGGTCTGCCCATTGGAGTTCTGACTGCCATAAGGCCCACATCATAGTGCTCCCTGCTCTAAGGATGCAGGCTCCTCTCGCTTCCTTTTCCTCTGCCTCTCTTGCTTGGCCCGCCAGCAGACGTAGGCAGCCACTAGTAGGCCCACGCCAAAGATCAAGGTGGCCACTGAGACCACCTTGGCAATGTCCATCTGTGGCCCATTAATGGTGAAGGTGATGCAGGTTGCTGCTATGCCAATGACCAGGGAGACGATGCCAAAAGGAAAGATGCATCGGTACCAGGATTTCTCAGTCCCTCCTGTGGCCAGCGCCAGCTTGTTAAGGGTAGCTGTGGAGTCCGTGGTTGCGGTCAGAGGCAGCCCTGGTTTTCCTCCTTGGAGGCAAGTGAGTGAGTTGGACTTGCAGCCCATCATACTGGCAAGAAAAGCAAAAACAATCCAAACAACACTAGGGAGGCTCGGCCGTGGACAGCCCTCACGTCATGCACTGCTGTCTTCGCTGTGAGTATAAGGAGGCAGAAAAGGTCCTACATGATGTGGCTTTGTCTTGCAGCTTGGTGCTTCTGCTCCTCGGACAGCTGACTGCCTCTTGCTTTCTGCTCTCTGCTTGGGCTTGCTGACTCTTTTGCTGTTGCACTGAGTGGGGATTGGCTGGTGGGAGAAGTGATATCATGCCTGTGGGAGGGAGCCACTGCAGGCTCCAAGCCTGTTAACCCTTTCAGAGGTCCGGGCCAGGCACTTGCCTGGAGCCCCTGCAGGAAAACTCTGCAAGTGAGTTTTCACTGTTCTGTTTTGCTTTCACCTCTCTAATGCTTAGTTAGCAAAGGGCAACAGCCCCCTCTAGCAAGGGAACAGGAAGGGATCAGTGCCTGCTGTTTTAAACATGCAAGAGGGGAGTGTGGGATTCTTCCTGCTGGGTGTTGACAGGAAGCTACTCCACACTTGAGGAGTTTGAGGACTAGTACAGCCAGCCCAGCCTTCAATGTGGGAACTAGTGTTCACCAGTCTTAAATCCATCCCCTTTCAAAATCAGTAGCTCCATGCCCTTGAGCCAGGGTAGCAGCATACAGCCAGTTGGCACTGATGCTGGCACTGTTTCAAGTAAGCAAGTCTGCAGGTTAAGACCAAAGTACCTGGCAGGACGAATCTCAGCCAGTCCCCAGGGGATGTCTGCCAGCATCACAAGTCTAGCACCATGCCCTGGGACTGGGGTGGCCCAAGAAAAGAAGGCCCAGAACTGAGATAGCTTAGCAGGATGAGGGTTGGGAGAGCTGCATGAAGAGAAATCAGGACTGGAAAAGCAAGGGATGCAGGTGGCAAGAACAGAGGTGCACTGGAAGAGAAGAAAGTGGAGAATGAGAGGGGAGGTAGGGGAGAATTTCAAGTAAAGCATGAGATGGTGGGAAACAGGACTTTGCACCCAGCTGAGCCTAAGGACTGCATCTCTGGGGAGCATGCTTCAAGCACAGAGCTTCCTTAAACACCTTTGTATTCCAGCCATACTTCAATGATTCTGTCTCTGAGCCCTGTGCAGGGAGGGGGTGAAATCACTTCAGAACAGAGGCCACCTACGCTCTCTCACAAGCCCTTTCTGATCAGATTGGCAGGGGTAGTGCTGCTTCCACAGGCAAGGTATTCCCTCCACAGAGTATTTTTTCTGAATGGATCAGAGATGCTTTGGGACTGGAGCTGGGATGAGCAGAGAAAAGCCTGCTATGTCTTCTCTCATCTGTTTCTCCTAAGCAGCTGCTGTGATTGGGTTTTCATTTAAGAGGAAAGGAGGAGAATCAGAGACAGTAGTGAGCTCAGATATTTAAATCCTGTTCCAGGTCAAAAGGTCCCTGAGTTGATGGCGGACTCAGCTGCACCCCGATAATCAAGCAGTCAGAGGCTATACACACATCCCCTTCAAGTGTGGACATTTGGGTTTAGTCCCTTGCTCTGCCACAGACTTTGTGCATGAACTTGGACAAGTTCCTTATCTGTCTGTGCGTCAGCTACCTTGCTGTGAAATGGAGGTAACAGTGGTTCCTTAGCCTGCAGGGGCGTTGGGGGAAAAATACATTGTGGGTTGTGAGACACTTGGATATACATATGACTTTCAGCTCCTCAAATAGCTGCATTTTGATTTCAAGCCAGAGGTGGTTTGATGGGATTCCTCCCAGGTCTGTGAACAATGAGTCTTGCTCAGTTGGCACCTCCAGACTGCCTCCAAGCAGGTGACACATGACATCATGAGATAGAGACACATGCTGCATCTAGGTAACTGGACAGTACTGTACTTGGTGTAGACGCTGCCAGCTCCATGCTGTCCCAGGTCAAGGGCCTCAATGTAACCTGAAGGGACTTACTATGGAATGAAAAGGAAATGCAGTCTCTGCGATCTCTCTAGTTCAGAGTTTCTCAATCTTTTTAGATTCAAGAAGCCACTTGGAAAATGACAGCTCTGAGCTTTCACTTTTTTCTCGACTACAGAAAAACAACAGAGCAATTCTTCTGTTGCAGGGAACTCAGAAGGACCACAACAGGTTGGACTGTTTCTGACTCTATGGATTCCTATTTGAAATATCTGAGTTTATTTTGTGAATCAGTG